TACAACAGCAGGAATACAACAGGTTAATATTACCTGGTCATACAACAGCAGCAATACAACAGGTTAATATTACCTGGTCATACAACAGCAGGAATACAACAGGTTAATATTACCTGGTCATACAACAACAGCAGCAATACAACAGGTTAGTATTACCTGGTCATACAACAACAGCAGCAATACAACAGATTAATATTACCTGGTCATACAACAACAGCAGGAATACAACAGATTAATATTACCTGGTCATACAACAACAGCAGCAATACAACAGATTAATATTACCTGGTCATACAACAACAGCAGCAATACAACAGGTTAGTATTACCTGGTCATACAACAACAGCAGGAATACAACAGATTAATATTACCTGGTCATACAACAGCAGCAGGAATACAACAGATTAATATTACCTGGTCATACAACAACAGCAGCAATACAACAGGTTAGTATTACCTGGTCATACAACAGCAGGAATACAACAGATTAATATTACCTGGTCATACAACAAGAGCAGGAATACAACAGGTTAATATTACCTGGTAATTACATCACCTGCATGATATAGTGCCCTGTCTTCTTACACAGAACGTCGCTTTTCACTCGTAGACGTTACATACGGTCAAAAAATTGTCGTACTAGGAAATGGAAGCGACTGGCGAAAGTGACTTACTGTCCCGTTTTCTGTTTTGGGTCCTCTGGTAGGTTAGGAGAGAGACCACTTTAAATTGACTGCTCTCTTGACGTTGCTAACCTTAAGTGGACGGGTTCACTTAAAGGACCCGCTAAAATGGTACAGCATCAGGATTTATATCTAGAAGTGGTAACAATTCTCGGTGGGATGGATTTAGTACCTGGATTTAGTACCTGTTCTAAAGGGATTTGGCACGTGTGTCTTCGTTGAGAATTATTCATTTATGTTTTGAATGATGCGTGTTGGATGGTTTTATTCTCTCTTGATACTTCAGTACCGCAGTCTCCCAACCTGTCCTCTTAAAAATAGCGTCGCTTTTGGCCGTTTACCCGTATGGCCGAAAGTGGTCGTAATTTGAAAATAAAAAAAATGAAAATAAATTTGGGATTTTTTTTTTCAACAACAGTAAGGTAAGGGTAAGGATACCTGATCAACCAGGCTGTGACTCGTACGTCAGGCTGCGAGCAGCCGCGTCCAACAGCCTGGTTGATCAGTCCGGCAACCAGGAGGCCTGGTCGACGACCGGGCCGCGGGGACGCTAAGCCCCGGAAGCACCTCAAGGTAACCTCAAGGTAAGGGTCCTTTTGTAGGTTAGTTGGGCAGGAAATTCTCATAAGTTTCAAAACATTATAAAAAACGTTAATTGAAAGTTTCCTCTCCTAACCTTACCGAGTAAGCCGGACGACTCAAACAGAAAACGGGACAATACGTCACTTTTGTGAGTCGATTTCATTTCAAATTACGTCCACTTTTGGCCATAGTGCGCATACGAGCCAAAAGCGACGTTATTCCTAAGAGGACGGGTTGGTCTCCAAACCTTATGTTTAAGGAATTGTATTTTGCGCAGGGATTTTAACTTAGTTTCTACTTGTGAAGAAACTTGTTTTGTCTGAAAGTCCTCTACCGGCTTCATGCACCGACAGTCAGGAAGATCAGTTGCTAGAAATTCATCTCATGTCTGCACAGCTTTGAAAGTTCAAATGTCATTATCTGTTAATTTTTTACTCGGATCTTCATTTTAGCACTAAAATTTACCGCTGAGAAACACACTGATAGTTGACCGCTACTGTTAGCAGACATGCACTCAAAACCGGATTAAGGACCGGTTTTTTCGAATTCCGGACATTTTTGGAACATTTAAATAAATAATAAATAAATAATAAATGTTTATTTAGGTAAGGTACATACATAAAAGAGATTTTACAAAGAATGATGGATTTATAAATAGAGCTAGTACATACAATGCCTAAAGCCACTATTACGCAAAGCGTTTCGGGCATGAAAAACTTAAATGACTAAAGCTTAATTCTAATTGAGTATAAAGAATAAAATGTGTTGAGAACAAATAAAAATAGATAAAAAAGGGGGAAACATGGCCTGACAAAGCAGCACAAATACAATTAGGTCGACAAACAGCGTTGTTTAAAATAACAGACATGGGTTGACAATAGAGGGGTAAGGTAGGTTACAGGGAATTTATTAGGTAGTGCTTCGTTTTTATCTTAAACTGGTTGAGAAAGGTACAGTCTTTAACATGGTTGGGAAGGTCATTCCACATTATGAGAAACTCGGTGAGAACCAATGGAATCGAGGAGCCGAGCGGACTGCATGCTGGTCTTGTGATCCTGTGGTCCTGGGTTTGATCACGGGCGCCGGCGAGAAACAATGGGCAGAGTTTCTTTCACCCTATGCCCCTGTTACCTAGCAGTAAAATAGGTACCTGGGTGTTAGTCAGCTGTCACGGGCTGCTTCCTGGGGGTGGAGGCCTGGTCGAGGACTGGGCCACTGGGACACTAAAAAAAAAAAAAAAGCCCCGAAATCATCTCAAGATAACGTGAAGAAGATCCCATCACTGCAGTACATGACATTCAACACGTTTCATTTTTGACACATGGACAGAGGTCACTTGTGCTGCTAGTCAATTTTTCCTTGCGTCGACAACTATTGAATGACGTTGCCTTACCTTGAGATGATTTCATGGCTCAACGTCTCCGCGGCCCGGTCCTCGACCAGGCCTCCTGGTTGCTGGACTGGTCAACCAGGCTGTTGGACGCGGCTGCTCGTAGCCTGATGTATGAATCATAGCCTGGTTGATCAGGTATCCTTTAGAGGTGTTTGTCAAGTTCTCTCTTGAACACTGTGAGGGGTCAGCCAGTTGACCTTATGTGTAGTGGAAGCGTGTTGAACAGTCTCGGGCCTCTGATGTTAATAGTTCTTTCTTGAACACTGTGAGGGGTCGGCCAGTTATGTCCCTTATGTGTAGTGGAAGCGTGTTGAACAGTCTCGGGCCTCTGATGTTGATAGTTCTCTCTTGAACACTGTGAGGGGTCGGCCAGTTATGTCCCTTATGTGTAGTGGAAGCGTGTTGAACAGTCTCGGGCCTCTGATGTTAATAGTTCTTTCTTGAACACTGTGAGGGGTCGGCCAGTTATGTCCCTTATGTGTAGTGGAAGCGTGTTGAACAGTCTCGGGCCTCTGATGTTGATAGTTCTCTCTCAGAGTACCTGTTGCACCTCTGCTCTTCAACGGGGGTATTCTGCACATCCTGCCATGCCTCCTGGTCTCATGTGATGTTATTTCTGTGTGCAGGTTTGGGACCAGCCCCTCTAATATCTTCCACTTGTAAATTATTATGTATCTCTCCCGCCTGCGCTCAAGAGAATACAGATTTAGGCTCTTTAGTCGGTCCCAATAGTTTAGGTGTTTTACTGAGTTTTCCCAAATTAGATCACGAAACAGTATTGTATAAATTTAGATTTAGGAAAGTGTAATGTACGATTATGTACGTTGTTGGGTAGATTAGATACACAGTGTTTCGTGGGATTTCATTATTATTTAGTAGTCTTGGATACAGCAGTGTCGTAGACGTTGAGACAGAACTTGGAGCAGAGCAGAGAGCTGAGTGAGGCCAGAGTCACGGAGCTCTGTGGGAGAGTGTGACGGCTCAATGGGGAATCGTGAGTGTAAACTCAATGGGGAGCGAGAGCGTTGTAGCTCGATGCGGTCGTAGTCTGCTGTCTGCTCTGTGTTGAAGCTGTAGCATCTTGGGTCGGTTGGAACTGTACACGCCAAGTGTAACATTCTTGAGGTTGAAGAGGTGTGGTAACTCCCAAATGTTTGTACCGAAGTTAACTGAATCACTACTGTGAAAATTGTACTGTTTGTTGGCTATTCGTTTGATTGATTAATAAAGATTAAGCCACCCAAGAGGTGGCACAGGCATGAATAGCCCGTAAATTGGCTATTCGCATACCACTAGCTTATATTTGGTGACTACACCTCAGCTTCCTCCAAATAAGATAGAAGGATGGAAGAACTGTTCCCTGTAATTAGGGAAAAGATTGAAGCTTTTATAATTACTGCTAATGAGTTTGTCATTAGGCTAATGAGAGCTTGGAGCGGGTATATTGTTGACATAATATACTCGCTACAAAACAAATAGGCAAACCTAGTTGATAAACTGTATTAACAACACATAAGCAAACCCACTTCAAAGTTTCTAGTATGCATAAGACAAATGTGCGAGTGAGAGTGATTGGGAATAAATGGTCGTTGTCTTGCATGGGCCAGTAACCTTTAGCCAGATGCCATTATTATTAAGTTTAATGTTATGTTGTATAGCCCCTCTTCTGGTCAAAGGATAGGAGACAGACTAAGTATTCCATCAAAGAGAAATGAGCCCTGAGAACTTGAGCCACAGAGCACACACTTTTGTAGTTTGACTCCCTCTTGTGGGGCTGTCAAGTAGAGATGGCAAAGCTACTTGACAGATTTTAAGAATATTAATGTCTCATTACTCAAATTTTGGTGTGCCAGTGACCTTGTCTGGGTGCCAGGAAAAAAATTATGATGTCAGTCAGTCCTGCCCTTTGTCCACATAGAGATATAAAGTTATATTTTGTCAGCTCTTTTTCCCTTTGTAGCTTGTGGTTGAACTTGAGCAAAACCTTGCATGACAAGTAATAAGTTGTTGCACATATTATATTGTCAGTATTTTACACAATTCCGCTGTTTTCTAATGTGACATATCTTTGTGACATTTTAAAATGGCTGATAAAACTAATTTAAAAGTTGTTCTTAGATATCCTTCACTTTATTAAAATATTTTGATAATAATAATAATAATATTAATAATAATAATAATAATACTCTTTAACATAAAAATTTCATGGTCAAGAAATGTGTGTGTATTGTTTGTATGAAGTTACATTAGTTTGTTTAGTAGGTAGTAATTGTGGTGTGTACTTGAATAGCTTTCTATCATCTGATATTTAAATGCGATACTTTCTGCACATTTCATTATAGATTGTACCTTAGCAGGGGCGTCGCCATACAGCATGAGTGGGACACCAGGTCCCATGATGTCTCCGCCACCAGGGGAAGACTCCATGGGTTATGGCATACCAGGAATGAATGGCTCAGGATACTCAGGCGTAGGGGTGAGTTGGTGTCCATTTTGAGTGTTGGTGACTTGAGCGGCACACTCCAGCACACAGCAGAACACTCAACACCTGCTGCTGCCATTCCTTCACATCCTTCACAGTTTATAAATGAATGTGCAGTATATTTTCTAGTCATGTATTGTTGTAATTTGTTAAATTTCTGTGTGTTGATTTTTAGGAATATGCTAAATCTTGTGTCTTATAGGGTTTATAAAGGAGCATTTTGGCGTGACTGCCATACAAGAGAATTTGATGGAAACGATACAATTTCATGACCTTATTCTTGTTGTATCTTGCGTCTCTCTCTCTCTGCTCACCAGCATCACGGTCAACAATCCTTTGGCTGGTGATGGGTTCCCTACAGTGCTTGTATCTTTTCCAGTTGTATTTTAAACTTGAGAGCTGTTTTTATTACAACTACCATACTTCAGCAGGGCCTTTGGTATAGGCGTATTATTCTCTGGGACAGGTATTTCTCTGTCTATTCTGCACTGTGGCTTCCCATACTTTTAAGTTGAGGCTTTGATCAGGTTTTCTATTAGACATCTTTAAAAAGGGGGTTGGATTCTTATTGATACAGTTTGTTGCAAAATCTTGAATGTTGGGTTTAGAGAGGTGGGGCCAAATTCACGAAGCAGTTACATAATCACTTACGAACCTGTTCATCTTTTCTCAATCTTTGGCGGCTTTGTTTACAATTATTAAACGGTTAATGAGCTCCGAAGCACCAGGAAGCTGTTTATAACAATAACAACAGTTGATTGGCAAGTTTTCATGCTTGTAAACTGTTTAATCAATGTAACAAAAGCTGTCATAGATTGAGGAAAGATGTACACATTTGTAAGCACAGTACTTGCATAACTGCTTTATGAGTCTGGCCCCTGGTGTGGTATGTCGCATGTGAACAAGTATGTCCCATAACTTTTGATATACTTTTGTATTTGATGTTTGATCTGGGATAATTTTTTAATTTCAACAGGAATTTTATATATTTTTGTATGTGTTCCTTACACAGTTGTCAAGGTGAGGGAGTCACACTGAATCGTAAACCTTTTTCCACAGTGGCAGTTATGAATTTTCATTATAATTTTGAATTGCATTGTTGCATGCTATATGCCAGCTCACCCACTTTTCCTTAGGGAAGAGAAGGATTGCATCTTTTGATAACTCAGATTGCAATTTAATGTTGTTTACAAATCCCCTCTTCTCATCAAGGATACGAGACAGACTAAATGTCCCATCCTGTTGGGATACACCCAATATTTAGGTAGCCTCAGAGCCTACCTAACTTTGATTTATCTCTACCTGTTGGGGCATCGAGCCGAAGCTGTAAAGCTACCCTGAAAGTTTCGGTGGATCTTGTTATTGTATGTTGCAATGATTTGGTTGTGACAGTGTCCGATAAATTATTTTTCAACAAAACAGGCAGTCTTGCATATTGCTTTTAAAGTTCATGTAAACCATTTTATGTGGCGATAATACCCTCTTCACTAGCACCTCTTCTTGTAAATCTGGGAATCATCTACAAATTTGGGAATGGGGTTTAAGATATTTCATCAGTATCAACGATAAGTACCGGGAATATTCATGGAGTGGGGTTCTGAGAGTTCATCTGCTCCTCACTGTTGTAATAACTTGATCTAAAAAGGTGGTGCTTGGAGCAGACCGCCACCATCTGGTCACCATTTGGTCCGGGAGACATCTCCCGTCACGCAGGGTGCAGTCGCACCTCCACATATCTCCAGTATCATCTATTGATACTGGTGATGGCTCAAAAGGGCCACCACTTACGGGCTATTCATGCCCGTGCCACCTTTTGGGTGGCTTCATCTTCATCTTAACACATTCACAAGGGAGACATCTCCCATCATGCAGGGTGCATTCGCACCTCCACAGATCTTCAGTATCAGCTCTTGATACTGGTAATGGCTTAAAAGGGCCACCACTTACAGGCTATTCATGCCCGTGCCACCTTTTGGGTGGCTTAATTTTCATCATTCATCATCAGCAGACCACACGGCCACATATCAACTACGACCCGGTTCGTGCACACTCGAAACATTAACCGATGGCTGTATTTGAAGTATTCTGTTGATATGTGAGGCTAAAAGGAAAGAGTACTGTATTCAACTCATTATTCAATAAGCATGAAGTACTTCTATTTACTTACTTGGTACCCATGAAGGGCAAGTTTTGCCATTGAGTACAGGGACAAAGTACAGTATTTAAGACATCCCACGTATGGATCCGGCTTCACTACCACTGACGGAGTGAAACGGGAAGATATTTGGTAACCAGTTGAGCTAGCAGGTTGTGATCGGGAAACTAGCTTCAACTGACTATGAAACAACACTGCCTCCTTGCTTTGCCCATTTTACTTATATTAATAATACTGTAATAATAATAATAATAATACTACAGTAATAATAATAATACACATAGAAAATCATACTAACTTTAATTTACACACACTAATAATTTAGTGTGATTTTCTGTGTGTTTCTGAAGCTGGGGTGTACTGTGTTGAACTGGTTGATACCTGGTTGATGGGGTTCTGGGAGTTCTTCTACTCCCCAAGCCCGGCCCGAGGCCAGGCTTGACTTGTGAGAGTTTGGTCCACCAGGCTGTTGCTTGGAGCGGCCCGCAGGCCCACATACCCACCACAGCCCGGCCCGAGGCCAGGCTCGACTTGTGAGAGTTTGGTCCACCAGGCTGTTGCTTGGAGCGGCCCGCAGGCCCACATACCCACTACAGCCCGGCCCGAGGCCAGGCTCGACTTGTGAGAGTTTGGTCCACCAGGCTGTTGCTTGGAGCGGCCCGCAGGCCCACATACCCACCACAGCCCGGCCCGAGGCCAGGCTTGACTTGTGAGAGTTTGGTCCACCAGGCTGTTGCTTGGAGCGGCCCGCAGGCCCACATACCCACCACAGCCCGGTTGGTCCGGCACTCCTTGGAGGAATAAATCTAGTTTCCTCTTGAAAATGTCCACGGTTGTTCCGGCAATATTTCTTATGCTTGCTGGGAGGACGTTGAACAACCGCGGACCTCTGATGTTTATACAGTGTTCTCTGATTGTGCCTATGGCACCTCTGCTCTTCATTGGTTCTATTCTACATTTTCTTCCATGTTTACCATGAACTAGTTTACCCTTCACCCGAGTGCTTGGGGGTCTTACATAAAACTTGGACTGGCTTCAGTAGAGGCCTCCAGACTTCCTGTGATTTCAGTAGAAATATGGTTCTAAGACTTTTAACAAGTCAACAGTTGTACAGTGGTAGAGTATGTGGTTGGCAATGCCTTGGTCGCGGGTTTGCGTCGCCTCGCAGCCCCAGTGGATTTTATCAGTAATAATAATAATGTAATATTATTTTATTTATAATACATATACAAAGCCTCAGCTTGAAGTTGTTAATAACTACGTTCAGTAATTATATATTTTTAAAGCCACTAATTACGGTGTTTCCGGCATAATGTTAGGTTGAGGAGAACATAGATGTTGACCAGACCACAACACTAGAAATTGAAGGGACGACGACGTTTCGGTCCGTCCTGGACCATTCTCAAGTCGACAGAATCGACTTGAGAATGGTCCAGGACGGACCGAAACGTCGTCGTCCCTTCAATTTCTAGTGTTGTGGTCTGGTCAACATACTTCAGCCACGTTATTGTGACTCATCGCCTGCATATAGATGTTCACATTAGTTTACTCTCAGTTTTCTGTTCATTGAAATGAAAGATGCAGGGGCAGATTTATGACAAGGCACAAAGTGTTCTGTATACAGTACTTGGTAACAACTGTAACAGAAAGTACATACAGTACCATATATAAAATGGAAGTCTTTGAGATGCCAACAAGTTTATTTCACCACCGGGAGCCGGTGGCTGAGCGGACAGAACACTGGAGGCGTGATCCTGTGGTTCCGGGTTCGATCCCAGGCGCCGGCGAGAAACGATGGGCAGAGTTTCTTTCACTCTGATGCTCCTGTTACCTAGCAGTAAATAGGTACACCTGGGAGTTAGTCAGCTGTCACGGACTGCTTCCTGGGAGTGGAGGCCTGGTCGAGGACCAGGCCGTGGGAATACTAAAAGCCCCGAAATCATCTCAAGATAACCTCAAGCGTGTAAAAAAAAAAAAGGATCTTCAGACCTTCAGTAGAAACACTGTGCATTCTAAATAGTGGTTGTACACTTGGCATCTCATCAACTGTTGGTACTCACCCAGTTATGCTTGCTGGGATTGAGCTTTGGCTGCTTGGTCTTGCCTCTCAACTGTTACTGAAGTGATGAACAGGTTCATGAGCCTTTTGGGCTGTATTATATCTACATTTGAAACTGTGTATGGAGTTTGCCTCCATCACATCACTTCTTAGTGCATTCGTTTTGTTAATTACTCTGACATTGAAATAATTCTTTCTTAAGTTTCCTGAGGCTCATTTGTGTACTCAATTTCCATCTACTGTATGTTTTCTTGTTCATGTACCATCCAGGTTAAAATAATTTGCATTCATCTACTCTGTCAATTGCTCTTAGGATTTTGTAGATGGTCATGTCACTCTTAACTCTTCTGTCTTCCCGTTTCATGAGGTTTAATTCAAATAGTATTTCAACATAGCTCATACCTTTCAGCTCTGGGACTAGTCAGGTCTAAAACCTCTGAACTCTTCCTAATTTCTGTGTCTGTCCAAGGTATGAGACTAGACACTTTGGCTAGCTTCAGTCAACTTTTCAAGATGACACAGGGTGGGCTGTAACTGGCATAGGTGGATCAGGATTGGCCACTTTGCCTCTCTTAAGAAATATCAGCGCCTGCAGTGACCCCCCTGCGATTTTGATGAAATCTAAAATTAGAGATTTGCTTTCTTTAGAGTTTTTGAGCAGTTTTTCATCTTTTTGTAACATTTTCTGAGACATATAGAGAGAGCTATATAAACACAGAGAGGAGAGAGAATGTCGATTAGCCCTGAGAGGAAACATAGTTCAACTGGCATTTGGCTAAAGTCACAGCACATTCGTCTTGTTTAGTCCTGGGCTTTTCTACTATTTGTAGATCAGGAATAACACCTCCTTTGATGACCAGACCACACACTAGAAGGTGAAGGGACGACGACGTTTCAGTCCCTCCTGGACCATTCTCAAGTCGATTGTGAGAATCACAGTCTCACAATCGACTTGAGAATGGTCCAGGACGGACCGAAACGTCGTCGTCCCTTCACCTTCTAGTGTGTGGTCTGGTCAACATACTTTAGCCACGTTATTGTGACTCATCGCCTGCAACACCTCCTTTATCATCAAATCCTTGGATTGGCTTTATATCTTTTCTTTTTCATTATCATCTTAGTTAACTTTTTGGAATTTTCTTTTTACATCAGTAACACAACACTGGTCCTCACTTGTATGTCAAAGATTTAGGAAGCCTGTCTTATTAGAGAGGTGCTCCAAAGCTGTGTCGCATATGCTTCAAATCTGAATTGCAGATCTGTTATTCATTTCCTATATGTGCATACAGTTCCTTGAGAAATGGCAATTGACAAGATGTAATAATTCAAGTGCCAGACTGCGAGCACCTGCATATAACAGCCTGGTTGACCAGACCAGCAATCAAGAGGCCTGGCCAGAAACTGGGCCATGGGAGCCAGTCGGCCGAGCGGACAGCACGCTGGACTTGTGATCCTGGATTCGATTCCAGGCGCCGGCGAGAAACAATGGGCAGAGTTTCTTTCACCCTATGCCCCTGTTACCTAGCAGTAAAATAGGTACCTGGGTGTTAGTCAGCTGTCACGGGCTGCTTCCTGGGGGTGGAGGCCTGGGCGAGGACCGGGCCGCGGGGACACTAAAAAGCCCCGAAATCATCTCAAGATAACGTCAAGATGGGGACACTGATCCTCGAAACCACCTCTGGGGTGGTAAAGTGTATCATGTGCATATCTGTACACACACATGCTTATTTTGTCCAAGTTTTAACAATCTGTTTTGCCTTTTGACTGCTTTGTGAATTAAAAATATTATGGTAAATGATGATTATGATGACCTAGGGATAAATGATAATTCATGATTATTACTGCATTAGGCACCTCAAGGTCTCTTAGTCCATTATCAGGACATGTTCAGGTTTAATTTATAAAATCTGAAGATGTATATGGCTGTTCAATTAAATTAAAGCATTGTGCATATTTGCATTTATCTGTCATAAGTGTGGGATTTATTATACTGTATATTAGTTGTATAAAGATGTTTGCAGTTACTGCACTCTACTTTTAAAAATTTGTATTTGACTATAATTGTATTTTGCTTTATTTTTATGTTAGTCTGGGAAAGTTTATCATCCATCATACTTGATACCACAACAGCAATAAAGTATATTACGTAATATAATGTTACACAAGTATGGATACACCAAAGTAAGTTGACAGTTAATTAGACTTTCGAGAATGTATGTTTAGGAAATTTGAACTTGGGTGTAATGAAAATTTTCTGATGGCTGTTTATTTCTAAAGTATCGGAGTAAAATCACATCACATCTAGTTGAAAAATAATTACTGCATTTACAAAATCAGTATTTATTATGTATAGAAAATTGGTCTAATGAGGTTTGTGTTGTTCCCGTTGGAGAGGATTAACCGACCTGTCCCTGTCCCTAAATATATATTGACCAGTGGGTGTTCCTTGCCAGGGCATGGGCTACGACCTCCATCCGGAGTCGCCTGATGTGTAGGCGGCACATATACATCCGCCCACGCCCAGCCCGCCCTCCACCCACACCCTAAAGTTAGTTGATAATATTTCGTGACTTCTGGCTCGTTTTTCCTCAGAATGTATTTGACCACAGTAATGAGGGTCAGTCATTAGTTTAGTATAGTTAGTTCAGTGTTTTGTGGAAGTAACATGTTTCCTATACGAGAAGCAAATTTTTTGTTTGTAGCGAAGCTTGCGCATTGCATGAGCAAATTAGTAATGTATTAGTTTTGCTCTGTGCAGCTTACCCCTACAGCTCAGTGACTTGTATGTTGGTAGCTACATTGTCGAATTAACCTACAGCTCCACAAGACACTAGTGTTCCTGTGGTGTGGTAGTCCTAGATGTTTGTCATCGTTCCTCCATGTAGTTAATAGTTTTGTCGCATGGCCCTGTGTGCAATCTTCCAAGTAATGTCTTGTCTGGATATTGTTGTCTACCTGCTGATATAGCTTTCCTCACATGAGAAATAGAGATTACACTTTGTAAATCACTCTTGTAAAAGTTGTTTTCTCAGCATGAAACTATAACTTTTTATTCCATTGAACTGTTTGCTTGTTTTATTTTTAACCTATATTGTTGAAATGGTCTTTGTACTGTACTAACTTCCCGTTAATAATTGTTCTTGGTAATGCATCCAGATATTTGCATGGCCAATTCCTCTTGATTTGATTAAGAGTACTGTATGTTGTGTTGCGTAGTTAATCGTGAAGTGAAAGTCTGATCACAAGGACTTTTACAAATACCACTATGTACCATACTGCACTACAGTTTGTAATTCTTTTTTCATGTTAACTAATTTGTTGTTGCTTTGTTTCGTTTCAGCAGCAATAAGACGCGTGGGCGGTTAGCGGGTTGTGGAGTCCGGGCCGGCGTGGTGGGGTGGCCTGGTTGGCCTTTCTGCTAATCCTCCTGAAGTATCAGTGGTGACCAACCTAGGTGCCGGGCTGCCCTCCCCCGCCCCCCCACACTACCTCCCGCGGCCCACCCATCCTTCAGACACACAGTGCAGGCCGTGTAACTCCGGGTCACCAGCCGCGATCGGGCTGCATGTGGCTCTTTTTTTGGGCCTAACCACATTGTCATATGTAGGCCACATGGGCTGCATGTGGCCCACCTCAGGCAACAGTGATCAGAGCTGTCAGCCCAGTGTGCAGGCAGCGGGCCGCCGCCATACGCCCTGCAGCCGAGCGGGACCAGCGGGGCCCGTCCTGCAGCTGAGCGGGACCAGCGGGGCCCGCCCAGCCCATAGTATACGAGAGCCGGGGCGGGTAGCCACCCACGGCCACTCCACACACCACACTGCCGCTACCCACGCCCACCACTCGCCCATGGGTGACGCTCTCATGACCCATAGCGCTACGCCATCTTGATATCCACCTGTCCACGCAGTTGCCCAACCCCATCCATCCATGGTCACACTTCTGTGAGCACACTCAGCCATATTACACCTGACAACTGGACCAGTTTCTGTGTTAAGGGTCCAAGCATATTCACTTAACTGGAGGAGCTTGTGATGCATTAATCTTCTTGTATACAATATGAAGTACTACTGTAATGTAAATATGAATGAATGGGAAGGTCAGCAGGTAACAAAGTATGTTTTATAGCCAGTTTTAAATGTGCGAGACAGAAGGTGCCATGGGAGGTGAAGGTGGGTACAGTGGTAGTGGACCCTCCCAGTACCAGGGAGCCCCAGAACCATGTATACGGTTGGTATGTGATAGTCACACTCGTGTTGCTTATATGTGTAGGCTTTTAATAAAGTTTCTGCTGTTTGAACATTCTTTAAAAAATACACACATGTTCCTCATTGGCGAATGAGCCAGATGTACTTTGCGTCACCCCCGGCGAGGTGGGCTACAGCGTGATTAGCGGCCCTCCCGCCTCGCGTGACCACCCAGGTTGGTGCGGTCCACCAGGCGGTCCGCGGCGACCCGTACAAGCCTCTGTATCCATGTAGCATAGGGGAGTGTGGCCAGTGAGGCCCGGCTGCCCCCCCGGCCCTGCACACGCTCCACTGGGCGGTCCACCCCCACCTTGACGTGGCTATAGGGCCACATTGCCCAGTGGGCCCCATCCAACCCAGTATACGTACTCTGGACGGCAGCAGCACCAAGATTGAAAAAGTAATGGTCAGACCGAACTGGCTCTCAAGATGTCTGTTTGTTGTTTCAACGCACATTGATTGGATGTTTCTGTTGTTTTTGTTTGTGTTCAATTGTGTTCTAATGGGTTGTGTAATGTGTGTATGTGCTGGTCTCTGACTGGCTTGAGTTACTGTGTTCTTGATCTTGTGGAAGTCGGAGGGTGTGGCCTTCCCTTGTCCATGGAATTCTTTTATGGTCTTTGGCTGGCCACACCTGGCCGAGAGGCAGATGACCACATTTACATCATCACTTTAGCCAACTAAAGTTGCAAGTGTTTGTGATGTAGGTATGGTTGTAGGAAAACAACGGTGTGGCGCCTCCCGGCCCATCCACAGCAAGGCACAGTTGGTGGGGCAGTGCCTTTTTGGCGCTGCCCGATTGATGCAGGGTATTACGTAGGAAAGATGAGACCACACAGATGATCTTGTGATACACTGGATAATGAACACTTAAGGACCTGGAACTTTGAAGTAGGTCTATTTTTATATGGATAGATAAGACTTGAAAATTGAAATGGGAAAAAAAGATAGATGGTCTTGTGTAACTGTATATTATTAGTATGGATAGAAAATTCTAATAATACTCTTTACAATCCGTTTAACATTTGGTAATGTTAAGTCCTTTTCCATACGGTTTGTACGGTAGTGTAAGGGCAGCATCGGATCTAGGTGGTGCACCAATGGTGGCCCAAAAGACCCGAAGCTGTCGAGTGCGCATGTTTGTATGGGTAGTGCAGGAGTAGTGCAAGGTAGCTAGACCACAAGTATACAGTGATAATACTGCAGTATACGAGAAACAATGTTCTTCATTGACAAAAGTATAACTACAAAGAATAAGCAGAGTAGCCTGCCCTCTTTTCATGAACTGTTAGCATTATTTTGACTCCTGTAGCCAGCTAAAGGGCCGTCATCTCGTTTCCTGATTTTTCTGAGCTGCTGAGGTGTACCGTAGTTGTCTCCATGTAACTTAAAGCTCTCTTCTGTCTCTTCTCGCTGTTCGCTGTAGTGAATGATGCAAGAATAAACCTCCTGTATTGAATTCTTATGAATAACTGTAAATGTATTGCCTAGATATACTCTCCAATACCGTCCTGTACCAAAATACGTAATTTTCTCATAATTCTTGTAGAGATACTGTGTATTTTTGCTGTGTATTTGTTCCAGTTTTGTAATAGTATATGTAGTACAATCTCGCTACTTTTTCTCCCCTTTAGGACGGTATGGGAAAGTCTGCAAAATTGGTGCATTCTTACTTACACATTTTAAGGAATTTTTTTCATGTAACCAGTTATTGTTTTCATTGTTTAGCCACCTTATTTATGCAGGCTGGGTCATTTTGAGATACCCCGCCTCATTTCTAAGATTACATTAATTTCATTTTGAGCAAGAGTCGAGTGCTTGTACCTTAGAAATCTATTGCGGAGGCGAAAGATAAGTGCTACTTATGTTTCCAGGCGTTACAAACTGGGCAAATCAAACTGAGTGCAAGGTATAATCCCATCACCCATACTCCTGTAGGTCATTTGTTGCCAACTGCCCTGTGCTCTCAGCTACAATCCATTTTCTATGAGGACCGTTTTTGTATTATTGTCCGTTGCCCACTTTGTCTCGTGCCTGGAAGCATTCCATTCACTCTCATTTCACTTAGTTAACTTAACCATTCTAACCTCTTTGCTATGTGAGTGTGAAGTACATGTACATTACTGTCTTTTGTATTGTCATGCATAAGTTGCATTGTAAGTATTTTGGCTACAAGGAAAGCCAGTCCTCATGATATTAATTACCATGATGTTTTGTTGGACTCTGCAGTGAGCTGCAGGTCTATTTGTGTTTTAAGGTTCATCTGAAAGCTCAAACTAGATTATTTTATAGTGTCAGGTACAGGATATTCTTGGTTGCATTTACTAAAATGCTGTAGCCACTACCCGTGACACTGACCCATTCCTGAAACAGGGCAATGACCTAGCGAACGCTCAGTGTCACGGCTGCCCGCCATGGTCCCTCAGTATACCAGCAGGCCAGTGGCTCAGGGGTAGTGCCCGCTGCTGACGCTTCCTGATTAAAAAGGAAATAATAGTAAGCATAGAGAAATAAATAAAAAATTTGGTATACCATACTGTAATGTGTCCTTGGCCTTAAGGTGTCACGCAGCGTGCACTACTCCCCTCCCATGTGGCCAAAGGCAGGGAGGCTGACCCACTGTGCCGGAGACGAAGAAGCACTGTTTATATGTACTGTAACATACAAACTTTTACTATTAGGTATGAATGTTATCAAATAAATGATTTCAAAGGCTATACAATGTACCTCCGTTATCTATCCTTGGGTGATACACAGTATTACAAAAAATATCCTATTTTCTATTATAATACAGAAATTAAATGGATACTAATTTGATCTAGATGCTTTCTCCTACCCTATAACAGGAGGTAACTGCTAAAGCTGTAATAATCATTTTATTCAAAAGATGTCTTCAACTCTTCAACTAGGGAGCCGGTCGGCCGAGCGGACAGCACGCTGGACCTGTGATCCTGTGGTCCTGGGGTCGATCCCAGGCGCCGGCGAGAAACAATGGGCAGAGTTTCTTTCACCCTATGCTCCTGTTACCTAGCAGTAAAATAGGTACCTGGGTGTTAGTCAGCTGTCACGGGCTGCTTCCTGGGGGTGGAGGCCTGGTCGAGGACCGGGCCGCAGGGACACTAAAAAGCCCCGAAATCATCTCAAGATAATCTCAAGATAAGAAACTCTTTGATCTCATACATTCAGCTTGGTTGTCTTGTAAGGTCCCACTTTGGATATTAGATCCAGAATGAAGTCGGGGACAACATACCAAGACATACCCGGAGAGTATACCCGGAGAGGATTCTGGGAGTTGTTCTACTTCCCAAGCCCCTGCCTGAGGCCAGGCTCGACAATGTAAGGCAGCATATTTTCAAGCATCTCGTGAGGGATTATAATGTGGTAATGGAAGCACTGAAGAAAAAAAAAGTTGATCCATAAACTTGAGACCTTCCACGCACTTGCTTGGCATCACTGTTGATTGCCAAATGAGGGCTATTACTAACACTTGCATTGCACAAGGGTTACATAAGACACTTATCTGTATGCACACAGAAAATTGTACTGAAAACAGTGTTTTGTCTTTCTATATTGCTAAAAAGCTATGCTCTAAATATAGGAACGATGATGTTTATTGGAAGACTTGTGTACCAGTGGGAGTTTAAAAACGTCAGAGTACAGTACCTAAAACATTGTATGATGTGAGGCACACACCAGGTGAGCATTATCTGTTATTATGCACATTTCAACGGTTAAGATACCTCTTAGGTTGTCTAATCAACCCCCCTCCAACTGCCATTTGAAAGCAAAATCACTGACTTGTAAAGTCCACTACGGGCTCGCCATAGCTCGTGCTGCTTGGAACTTGTTGTTCCGAGCAGCAGAATCTAAAACAACAAACAACAGCTGACTCATGCCAGTGGCATCCTCCCTGACTGTTATTTAGTACTTACCTAAGTGTAGTTACAGGATGAGAGCTACGCTCGTGGTGTCCCGTCTTCCCTGCACTCTTTGTCATATAATGCTTTGAAACTACTGGCGGTCTTGGCCTCCACCACTTTCTCACCTAACTTAGTGTGTGTGTGTGTGTAATTACCTAAGTGTAGTTACAGGATGAGAGTTACGCTCGTGGTGTCCCGTCTTCCCTGCACTCTTTGTCATATAATGCTTTGAAACTACTGGCGGTCTTGGCCTCCACCACTTTCTCACCTAACTTAGTGTGTGTGTGTGTGTGTGTGTGTGTGAGGCTTCAATAGTAGAATATATTGGAGTATGTTGGTTGTTTGTTTTTGAGCTTATGTACATCTATATAAATGCAGCTACCCTAGACTATATGATGGGTAACAGTTTGTGTTAGGAACTCATTATGTGATACTAAAATCCCCGTCTTACAGTGTGCTTATTCATGCAGGGGCATGTGATCAGTTGCCTGCACAGGCAAAGTTTGGATGCATTATAAGGATATCCTCAAGAACATGAGTGAATAAAGTATTTGGAAAGCTCCAGTACTGTACTTCATGCTGGCAGATATGAAGGATCTAATGATTGGATATTTAGTAATGGTATGATCCAGGTCTTCCTCATAAAGTTTATACCTCAGGGTTGGGAGATTCGTCACCTGCAGCCACCTACCACATGTAACTGTAGGTTAACCTGATCTTGACAGTCACTTATTCAGATTCAGATGTTTATTCAGGTAAGGTATATACATACAAGTGATGTTACATTAATGGATTGATATATAGATAGAGCTAGTACATACAATGCCTAAAGCCACTATTACGCAATGCGTTTTGGGCAAAACATTTATACATTGTCTGGTAGAAGTTGTGCTGCTCAGGTGTCAGATCTAGACAAGTATACATTTTTATACTAATGCTTTCAGACCTTTGAAAGTTTGTGCCTTCTCTCTTATCATACCTGAATATTTGGAGCATTATAGTCATAATAATACAGAGCTGGGGATACCTAGGTATAGTTCAACTTAATCTCTGTTGCATGCTCACTTGGTAGCTACATCTGTGTCATGTTATATTTGTTAGTCTGTTCCAGAATATCTCTGGGGCCAGATTCACGAAGCATTTACGCAAGCACGTACGAACCTGTACATCTTTTCTTAATCTTTAGCACTTTGTTTTTAATAATTTGGCGGCTTACAATTATTAAACAGTTAATGAGCTCCGAAGCACCAGGAGTCTGCTTATAACAATAACAACAACTGATTTGGAAGTTTTCATGCTTGTAAACTGTTTAATAAATGTAACCAAAGCCATCAAAGAATGAGGAAAGCTATACATGTTTGTAAGTACTCTCGTAACTGCTTCATGAATCTGGCCCCAGGTCTTTTTTATACCAGCAGTGCTGGTGTTCACATTACCTTTTTATGTTCTCAGAGAAATCAATGCATTCATGGTTGTCTGGTTCTTGGTCCAAGAATGTAGGTGTTTGCAGCTGTGCATCAAATGTACAGCATCCAATGCACAGCTGCGAACATCTGTTGTACCCACCAGGTTGTGCTTTAGCAGGATTTGTGTCCCATTTTTATTTTATGCCCACAAGCAACTTGGAGACCTGTAAAACACTATACAAGGCAGTGTGATTTGAATCAGGTCTTGGCAGGCCTTACTTTGCTTTTTTTTTTTTTGAGATATATACAAGAGTTGTTACATTCTTGTAGAGCCACTAGTACGCGTAGCGTTTCGGGCAAGTCCTTAATCCTATGGTCCCTGGAATACGATCCCCTGCCGCGAAGAATCGTTTTTTCATCCAAGTACACATTTTACTGTTGCGTTAAACAGAGGCTACAGTTAAGGAATTGCGCCCAGTAAATCCTCCCCGGCCAGGATACGAACCCATGACATAGCGCTCGCGGAACGCCAGGCGAGTGTCTTACCACTACACCACGGAGACTGCATTCCTGTGCTTGGCTTCTTGAGGTAGGACTTCAGAGGTGATTCAATGATCTGTTTGGGCATTATGTCCCCTATTGGTTTTATGAGACTGTATTTTGTGACTTGATGATTTGCAGTCTGGTGAGTCCTTTTAAAATTGCATTACACTGCCTGAGGTAGTAATCTATGAAAGGAAGGGGGAGGGGTAGGTACCATTTGATGGATTTTGGATTATGATACTTACCCCTTTCTTTCTCCTGTATTAAGATTTTTTTTAAATATATACTGTCATTATGTATGACTGTATGTAACAGATGTATACAAGAATATAAGAGTTTTTACATTCTTGTAAAGCCACTAGCACGCATAGCATTTTGGGCAGGTCCTTAATCCTAACTTTCCTCAGAATACAACCCACTGTTTAACAGCTAGGTACCCATTCACTGCCGGGTGAACAGAGGCTACAGTTAAGAATTGGCACCCAGTTGATCCTTCCCAGCCAGGATACGAACCCAGGCCAAAACACTTGAGAAATGCCGGGCGAGTGCTTTACCACAGGATCCTAATTTTTATTTTGCATTTTTGGGAGGAGCTGCTTGGTGGCTCTTTGAAGTTGTCTCATTGAGAAGGTTCCCCACTACTGGATCACATCAGTTATAGTTCCTGTTTGGCACACTGGGGGACCAGAGGCTGAACCTGGTCCCAATCACAGGTACTGGAAGTAGGGAATAATTATCGTCACCCTCACTGGGAAACCATCCAGAAACCAGTGATGCTTTACAGACAACTACAACATTCATAGAAAACAAAGTATAGAAACAGCCAAATGACTCTACAAATGATTCATTCCAGACAATTGGTTCAATCTGAACTAGCTCAATTCCACTTGTACCAATAGTTGGCACCAGGCACTCCAGAATTCTTGGCCTACAGCTGACTCCAAGGTCGGTTCTGTTGCCGATGTGGTTGAATCCAGTAGTGTGTTCCTAGGGTTGGCAACTGTTGACAGGTCTCACTGCTTTTCAGCTGAGTGTTGGCTACCCTACGAACTTTGTCCTGCAGGCACCATTTACTTGTATCATTTTTTTTTTTTTTTTAGTATTGCTTCTCATGCATTTTCTTTCCTAGTAGTTTTGTGTGGACTTCGAGTTGCATGTGCTTAGGGTGACTGATCCTTGGGTGTTCATTTAGCATTGCCCCTGTGCTAACAGCACAGATGTTCTGGTGTGTTTGGGAGTTCATCCCTCTGAGGCATGATCACTCGGGTGCCTCGTCTTGGAGAGTACACTAGTCCTTGACTCCAAGGCGAGGCACTAGTCCTTGACTCCAATGTGTAGTCCTTTGGCTGGGGTGGGCATCGTATAAGTTGTGTGGGGTGTGCTAGGGTACATGTGTGCTTGTTTCATACAGCATGCCGCAGACACTCTTTGTAGCCAAGCAGTTGTAATTACCTAAGTGTAGTTACAGGATGAGAGCTACGCTCGTGGTGTCCCGTCTTCCCAGCACTCTTTGTCATATAACGCTTTGAAACTACTGACGGTCTTGGCCTCCACCACCTTCTCACTTAACTTGTTCCAACCGTCTACCACTCTATTTGCGAAGGTGAATTTTCTTATATTTCTTCGGCATCTGTGTTTAGCTAGTTTAAATCTATGACCTCTTGTTCTTGAAATTCCAGGTCTCAGGAAGTCTTCCCTGTCGATTTTATCAATCGTTGATAATTGTAGGCTGTTGTAGGCTCCATTTGATGTTTGTTCTTTTGGTGAGCATTCCTAGCACCTGGATGTTTGATGTTTGTTCTTTTGGTGAGCATTCCTAGCGCCTGGATGTTTGATGTTTGTTCTTTT